AATACAATATATGAAAAACATTCATTTAAATATCTTACAGACACTTTTCTGCCTTTCTATTCGATTCTGCTGCTTGAGTTTATACATGGAACTGATTAATACTTTGTTTTGTGTAAATATGGTTGGATTACCTTAAAAAACAGATTTCAGACATCATGACTCTGTTCAAAAGTACTGTAAACAATAGTGTTTTTTTTTTTTTTTTTTTTTAAATTGTGGTGGTCTCCCAGTTGCTATATGCTAAACAGCAGAATAGGCATTGCTTGTGCCAAACTTTAAATTACCTGAAAGCGATTGATTTCCATGTTTCATGTTTGGAGATAATTAAGTATAGCTGTCATTGTTATTAAATCTTTGCCTCTCAGGGTTAAATGGACAATCCAACAGGAGACTTGTTTCGTTGAATGAAGTCAAACAACACCAAAATGAGGACTCCATGTGGACAGTTCTTAAAGGTCATGTCTACAACATAGCTCCATACATGAAATTTCACCCAGGAGGTAGGATTAAAAGTTTCTGTGAGCTTTTTGATGTTGTTACTTACACTAATCGTTAAGGTTACATTTTAATGGCTTTTCTTTGTTTATGTGCTCAATTTTGGAGTGGTTTTTTTTGGGGGGGGGGGAATGCTTCTCATCTGCTTTATCAACCAAAGAGGAACTTGTTAGTTTCATTTTGAATTCAAGAAGTTGTAAACTGATGGAACCCAAATGCATAAATGCAGTATTTTTGTGAGATAGGTTTATCAATAATGATGTTACTAGTCTATGATTACTTTAAAATAGAAAGAGAACAAAGTATTACTATTAATATTGATGTTAAGGGGGAAATTAATGTATCTTCAAGCTAAGCAACACTTCGACTTTTGTAACTTAAAAAAGGCAAAAGAACTTAAAATTGTAAATAGAGCTTCAGTCAGGCCCAATACAAGTGTCCTATTCAATTGATGAAAAATGTGATAGAAAAGCTGAGTCCAGCATCTTTATTCCCATGTTTATGAAATTCAATCTCACCTTTTCTTTTAAGTTCTTATTCATGCAATCTGTGTTCTCACCTCAAAGACATTTTCTGTTTCTTTTCCTTGGTTGAAGATTAAATTTCAATGTGTTAATTATTTCTATTAACGTCCTTGTTAGACTCAATTAAAGTTAAATGGTTTTTTTTTGGAAAGGCCAGTTTGTTTGTGTGTGTGGAGACCTTTGGAGGATTTGTCGATGCTGCATGAAGATGGTATGACAGTTTTCTAAGTGAAAGAGTGCTTTAGTTGGGTTGCTTTGAGTGGGGGCCAGATCTCTGTAAGTTGTGGTAGTGAGCTCCTATTTGAATGGAAATAGTTGAGCAGTGGATAAAAATTGTCTGTTTGATGAAGGTGAAGTATTGGACAAGCATGTGTCTCAAGACTTCTCCTGTATATGCTGACAGAATTATCTCCCAACATGTGAACTTGAGGGGATCTATCTAAGCACCATAAGCTCTGCCATGGCACTAGGCCCATCAAGTTCTTATAATGTTACTGAAATGTTGATCTAATCTCCAAGTTCTACCAAACATAGCAGTACCTCTTGCACTGAGTCACTGGGTCCATCATGTTCTTATAACGTTACTGAAATGTTGATCTAATCTCTGACTTCTACCAACATAGTAGGATGCCCTGAGTCCACCAAATCCTGTCCTTCGTAGGATGCCCAGACACAACCTATTAATACCTAAGGTAGTCCATTTGGCAGAGTACTACATTAACTACCATGGGCACATTTGTCTAGTGTTTTATTGTTGCTCTATACTTCATTCTTCTAGTCATAGCTGTCCTAATGGGCATGCCAAATTCCTTCACTTTGATCAATTGGTAGATTCTGATCAGAGCTTGTGAGAATTGACTGGCTTGTCTTTTTGTTGGTTAATGTGCATTAATGATATTTCTATAGTTTATGTGGTACTTGGAAGATTACAATAAAAACTGTAGTTCTGAAAGTAAAGGATCTAATGTAAAAATGATTCGAGTCTGCTAGTTTGTCTTTAAATGTTTACTCTTTGTTATGTTTTAGTTTGTTGAGTTCACAAATTTTGCCAATGATTTATGCCTTATTCGTTTGTAGGTGTTGATATGCTGGTGAAAGCGGTTGGCAAGGATTGCACATCTTTGTTCAGTATCCTTTCCTTTGATTTAGCACACTTTTATGGTTTTGTCTGCATTAAGTTTGGGCCTCTTTCATACTTCCCACACTGCAAATTATAGGATAGAAATTGGGGTTTCCAGTACATGTGCACATCTAGGCTGGTAGATTCCAAGTTCTACTGTGCAGGAAGATAATTTATCACTGGGCTATTATTTTGTCTCATCAGTATTAGAAAATTGAACATTTGTAGCCTTTTTTTTAATATTCCTTTGGAATAGGGGCTAGCAATATTGGGTGATAAAAAATGGTGATGAAGATATCGCATAGGGGTTGGAGAAAGGCTTCAAAAAAGGGTAGGACCCTGTATCTAGTTCACACTGTTGCCCCCCTATTAGTGTTGGGTTTGCTCCACGTCTAGCCAGTGATAAATTGTAGCCAAAGTCATCCCTTATCCTTTCATTGGCAGAAACTGTTTGGACGGTAGAAATTGTAAGGACGGTAGAAATTGTAAGGAGTGGATATTGATCTTCGCATGGTAAAAGGTTGGCTCAAGGGGGTTTAAAAGGGGACAAAATGTAGTTTAGGAGGCAAGAGGAGATGTATGCTACTATCATCTGAGACTTACTATTTTGTGGTCTGAATACAGAGTCAAATAGGGACATAAAATTTTCTCATAGTGATGTAAAGTGGAATTTTTGCCCTGCAAAACGATAAAACTTCCAAGAATTTCAGTTGAGCTTTTGAGGGCAAACAACCTCGATGAACCTAAAAGCTTGTCATGGAGTATTCTTTTGTCCATTCAACTATTCTTAGTCTTATTTGCCCATTGAACTCGAAAGAGCATAAACTTCTAGTACTTCCATCAGTTTGAGCTGCCAAGTCCTTTTTTGTACAAAACTTAAGGATGTATAAAGTTCATTAGAAGGATCCTTAAAGTTCATTAGAAGTTTATAGACCTATTACTTCTCCTCTTTTCCTTCTTCCTTCTTTTTTTTTTTTTCCTTCTTTTTCTTTTTCTTTTTCCTTTTTCCCCTTCTTTCCTTCCTTTTTCTTGCTCTTTTCCTGCAATCCTACTATCCCATCATCAGGTATCTCCAATCAGAGAACGCCTCCAGCCCCCTTTTGACCTATGCTGCCTCTCCTATCCCCATCTTTTGTGCTACCCAGTCTTTTTACCCCCTTCCACGTCTCTCCTCTGTTACATCATATCTTACAACTTACAACCCCATCAACCCTGCTTTTCCATTTTCCTCTAAGCCAGCCTCCTCCCATAGCTTTCCATTCTTGCATGTTTGGGGGTGCTGATCGGACACTGTGTGATAATGGTGTTTAACAGGACGCAGTGGGGGATTTTAATGATTTAAAGGAGGTACCTTGGGCGCTAGGGAGCTATTGTTTTGGGGGGGTTGGGGGGGGGGGTGTGTGAATGTTTGGCGAGGGTGTTGGGGGTACTGGGCAAAATACTGGGAGATAGTGCAATAAGCGGTGAAGGGGACGTGCTGACTTTTTGTTGGGGGTTTAGGGAGTGGAGGGATCTGCCAAAGGGAAAGAAAAGGATAAAAGAGACAGAAAGAACTTGAAAGATTTGTTGTCTATGGTGGCATAAATGCCCCTAAAATATTATATGAGGGAGGACCTAGCAGGTGAAAACGTAGGGAGGTATTAAAAGGTTAGATCTTTGAAAGTTCAATAACTGCTTTAGTCAGAAACTTTTTACTGGTCAAAAGTATGCAGTGATGATGGTTTTGTGGTTCCTTTAGTGTTTGCCTAATGTAGCATGTGACGTCCTTTTCCCCCTGTCTGCAACTAGAGGACATATATACTTTCTCCATCTAATAAGAAAGGAAAATAAAGTGTTCAAAAGCCACGCATGGTAGACTGTAGATCTTACCGTTGTAATCCTTATTCTTTATACAGATAAATACCATCCTTGGGTTAATGCTGAATTTTTACTGGAAAAGTGTCTTGTGGGCACTTTACAGGATGGCCATTGAACAACCATTTATTTGCAAGATTCAAGAAATTGTTCTCAGGAAAAGTGCTTTATGACAAGCATATTTGCCTTAGAGAATAAGACACATTACATCTTCCTACGTGAATGTACAATTTGAAGACTGACGTTGATAATGTCAGATGGGTAAGGAAATAATTTACGAGTGGATGCTAGAATACTTGTGTGCAGGATAACATTTCTGACAGCAAGGGGTTATGTATTTGATTTTTTTACTGCCAATTGCTATGAATTATTCTTGGCCTTTTAGCTTTTCTCATCCCTTTACTGCTGTAACTGTAATTGCTCACTGATCTGTCTCACATTGTTTTGTCAATCTTTGGACAACTGCATTAATCTTTCTGCACCATGTCTACTGTATCACCTGTAACAGCTCATGGAATCTCATATATATAGTTCAAGACTTCGAAAAAAAAAATTGCAGATATAGTGCTTCTGTTCCTTGCGAGGACAAGTATTTATAGCCTAGGTCCCAATTGTATGGCTGGTGCTTTATCCATTCAATGATATACTATGCCATTTTCAAGTTTTTCCATTAGGCACCATTAGCCATCGTTAATTAAGATAGTTTGGGTGCCACATGTTCTCAAATGATGGGGCACAAAAGACCGAGGGAAGCTATGAAGATTGTTAGGTACTAGTAACTATAACTATTAATCTTTCCAAGGTTTGCAGACTTAGATCAACTTATCTTCTTGTTTAGAAGCTATATATTGTATTAGAAGTGATAACAATGAAACAAAAAGTAACAGTTTATTTCTCTACGTATAGCCATAAGCATGTCTATGGAAAGTTGACGATTAGTAATGTTGTGAAATGATCCAAAGAACAGTTAAGCTCACAGGCTAGATGGAACGTAATATGGAGCCGTCGTAGCTTGAAAAATGCTTTATTTATGGTTCTTGAAATCCAATAAATCAAATCCAAGCTTCTGGAGATATCATACAAGTAATATCTTCACTGAAACTCTTGCAACCGAGTAGGAAATTGCCCTTAAGTCTTTCTATAGGCATCTATTTCATGCTAGGCACTAAGAAGCCAAACAGGGAAGGGCAAGGCATTTAGATGAAATCTATTTATGGTCAAGGCAATTGCAGAGTTGCTACATACAACAAATCAAAATCCAATCCTGTGGAGAGGAAATCAACACAAAAAGACCACTAAACGCACAGAGGTGCTCGCTCACTTCCCTTTTGTATCTTGATGATGATTGATCAAAATCTAGCAGTGACCACCTTGACATTATCAAGAACAGGGCCACAGAGAGCTCCGTAGTCATCAATCTTTGTGTGGTAAAAAGAGCTGAAGAAAGTTAATCTTGTCCTAGCTGAAATGGCTGTGAATTTGAAACTAACAGTCCTGTACTGACCCTTTCCTACGGATTGAAACGGAACTTTCAATGTAGACTTTGCAGCAAATGCTTCAACCATCATTGATCCATGGCAGCCATTCTTTCCATCCCCTACGCTGAATGTAAGATTGTATTCCTTGTTAGGCACTGTTCTAATAATCTGTGCAATCACACTCTCCCTCCCTCCAAGAAATTCTATTGCTGCACGTCCACTCGGGACATTGAAATGCATGGCATCGATGAATTTGACGGCCTTCAGTGATTCGATAATCCATCCAGGAAGTGGAGATGTCCTGTCCTCCTGGCTTGGAGGGAGGAGGACACCATGGGAAGAGTTAATTAGCCGATAAGGACCCTCCTCAAAATCACCGTTCTTAACCAAGTTCGCTGCATTGTCATCAGAAAACAATAATGCCATTACAAACAGAGATTGTTTTGGAAACTGATGAACCAAAACCAAAATTGAAGGGAGTTTCAGTATTCTTTATGCTCTTGAAAATTTTTTTTTCCCAGTTCAGTAGGCCAAACAGAGAACCCTTTCCAAGATCTCAAAGTAGTCATTGAATGGGATTCTTGAGTACTGTCCACTATAAGGGTACGTTTGATAAAACTCTGAAATCTAAAGTCTAAATCGATTAAGTTATTAAATAATTAAGTACATACATGTAAGTGTATATTACATTAAGTGATAAGTAAATAGTTTATATCACTTATTTTTAGGGTCAAATTTTGTCTAAAAAAATTTAATATTAATTAATTCAGATATTTTATTTTTAGTTATTAATCGCAACTGAATGTATTAGGATCTGAACCCATTAAGTTTAAATGCTAAATTGAGTTATCAAGACAAAATAATTATAATTTAGCGCAACATTGCAATTTCTTAATGAAGGCGTACTTGTCTGGGTTATCAAACAGATGTGGAAAGTGGTTAAGCACAAAAACATTCAGGTTATTACATTACCCGCGGAATAAGATTACCGTGTGGGAAAAAGACTATTCGTTTAAGATGTGACAAGTTTTACAGATCCGGAGCTGAAAAAACTTTTACAGATCTGGAGCTGAAAAAACTTGGGGTTTTGCGATGGTTCACAAATCTCTGGTTAAGATTTTCCTAAAAGACTATTGGCACTAGCCTGCTATTGAAAATCAATGGCTATCTGATGAGATTTAACCAAACCAGGGATTAAGATTTGCACACATAAAAGCATAAACGGATAAACATGCCATAGAAATCTCATTACATTACGACCAACATGTGAATCCATGTGCAATGTTTGGCAAGAAAAAGGACAAAGCAACAACAATGCAGGAAAAAGCATTTAAGTTTACCTCTTGTGGGCTTAGGTGGGGAAAGTTCTTTGATGGCAACAGCATCCAAAAGTGGCCCGCAAGCAGGATCCTCTTGAATCCCAGGATTGTGAAAGGTAATCTTTGCATAATTGGTATTGGGAATGAAACCAAAACCATAGGTATCACCACCATTGCTGCTATACAGAGTCTGCAATGGAAGATCCCCTGTTTGAGGTGGCACTGATACCCTCAAGACCTCATTTTGAGCACAAGTTTTTGAAGCCCCAAATGTGAGTGCATAGAGGGTTCCAATTTTCACAGGAATTGTCTGAGAAATTGAGGCCTCATTCCCAAGCCTAACTGCATGGACACCATGTGCAACTGCAAAGTACATCCCACCTGGCTGTGGCCCTCCATGAATGTACTCAACCTTGCCTGAGATCTCCCATTTGGGCAGTGCATATTTTCCTATCAGCGTTGTTTTCTTGATGTCAGATGGCTTTATTGGATCCTCAAAGTTGCCATTTGGGAGAAGTCCTGAAAGACAATGTAGAAGCAGATTAAGTTAAACATAGAAGTAGAAAACATGCCATTAACCAAAATGCACGCAGAGTCAAGACAAACAAATATTTCAAGAATGCATATTCAGCAAAGATCTACCACTAGAGGAGGCCAGAAAAGAAGTATGAAGAGAAATCTAGCTTAAGATGAGGACTGATAATGATGATGTAAAGTGCATTTGAGCCAATACCTTCAAGAGGTGTACGAACAGGTTTAGGAGTATGTATAGGTTTAGGAGCTGCAAAGGCAGAGGATATGAAGAGAAAGCAGAAAGAAAGCAAGAGAGAAATGTTCACTGCCATTTTGTGAAGAAAGTGGGTATTAGTTAAAAATGGCTTGGGGCTTCTATGCTTTAGCTAAGTGGGCAGTGCTTATATAGGGAGGGGTGTACTCTCAAACAAAGGGAAGATGGGAAAAAGGATCATGGATGAGAATGGGGAGCGTGGAAAGGAGTACCCACCCTGATGATTTTGTCTCCTTGTCACAAATCGTTTTTGACTAAAAAAATTGGAACTTTCTCCACAATCCGTGCATTGCATTTTGTGTTGTTTTAGGAGTATTGATTTAGAACTTTGTATTGCTTTGCTTTAATGATTCCAACTAAGCCTGCCTTTTCTTTTAACCTTCACCTTTTGTACATTTGAATTTTTGAAACCTTGTTTTGGATTTCATGCTAGAATCACTTCTAGAAATTTGAACAAATTTCATCAGATACTCCCCACAAGACACCATGCATGTGCCTAAAAATTTTGGATGAGGTCATAAATCATAATGACATGGATCTTACTTAGTTGATTTTGGAAAGAGTAAATTACTCGGTGGGTTCTGAACTTTTTAAATAGTCAAGATTCGATCATTCAACTAATAACACTCGTATGTTTTTATCATTGAATTATGAAAAGTATAACTTTTGGGTCATTCTGTCTGATTGCTCGGTTAATTCTGTCAGATATAAGGGTTTGCACGATTCATGAGGCATTTTATTAATAGTTAGATGCGGCAGAATTAACGGTAAAATTAGATAGAATGACTCAAAATTTACACTTTTGATAATTTAATAAATACAAATATACTATTAATAGTTGAGTGGCTAAAACTCGACTATTCAAAAAGTTTAGCGATTATCCGGGTAATTTGCTCTTTTGGAAATCAATGTACGTAGGATGGTTGTTCATTTGGTGCTTTTAGAAAATTTTTATTCTAACAATTTTATTAGAACTTAATGTGTGTGTGATAAAATGGTGATTACAATACATTAACTTTTTTTTTAAAAAAAAAGAACCCCTCTAATCAAATTACTTTTAATTCTAAAAAGATAATTTTAGTGCTCCCAATTACTTCTCAAGTGGTACTTTTAGATTTTCTTGGCATTAAAAAGCTATAGATGAGAAATTGTAAACAAGGTACTTTCAAGTTTCGAGTTGTGATTGTAGTTCTTGCTCGTAGGAGTAATAGAGAACTCCCAACCATTTTATAGCATATTGAGAGTTAAGGTTTCTTGATTTTTTTTTATATAAAAGGTGTTGTCATAGGATCTAGAATGGTTTGAACTGAATGCGAAGTTCCCTCAAGAAAAATTCGACCTTCAAAAGTTCACGCATCCATTAGTGGAGTGAATTAGCTACTCCAACAACTCTACAATGGCAAGACAATTCAAATTCAATCTCTTTATTTGCTAGATCACATGGTACATATATGAGACTTTAAAGATGGATGTATACGAATCTAAGCTTAACCTGCAAGAATTATGCAGAGGCTTCTAGACTCCTATCATGGGACAACTCAATCTTAGGCTGTTTTTTAATGTAGGAAGCAAATATTTTCTTGAATTTGGAATGAGATCTAAAAGCAACAGAGTATTGCTACTCTCAGATTTTTTTTTTCTGATAAAAACATCATCATTCATTAAATCTGCAGTAATGGCAGAAATCACGCTAATTAATTACATGCAGATATAAACAGATTTGAAGAACCTGTAAAAACACCTGAAAGACTGAAGTCTGTAATAGTATTTTGAACTTATGTTTTTAGCCAGTTGTATTGTGGATAAAGTATGTTTTGATCCTTAATAGTTTTAATGAAGCTTGAAAGCATTACCTTGATCCAATGTCTTTGCATCCCTTGAGAAATTAGTTGATGGATACTTAAGAAATTGAGATATTGTTTATTCGAGAGCATTCACGTTTACTGCATGCCCTAAAACAGTTTACACCTCCTTCTCCATGCATTGGGAAGTGTTGGAAATTTTTACTCAAATTCTTTCTTCATTCATTCATTGAGGGGGTCAATAAGTTTAACCAGCTTTTCAAATGGTCATACACTATAAAAAAAAATTTTGAGGATAAAATCTTCTCTAGAATGTAACAATTCTAGAGATACAAAGCATTTTAAGTATTTTACAGTCTCCAATGAACAAATGGAATCCGACAGCAAAGTTTGAGAAAATAGAGGAATAATTTCAAATAAAATCATTAAATTAATTAATCAAGTTGTGTTAATATATCAAGGATATTGTAAAAAAAGAAAAACCATGCGTAGAGAAGAAATTGTACATTGTTTTGCTGCTGAACCTTTTGTATCTCTTGTAAGCTCTTGACAGCACACACATACACACACACAAATATATATATATATATATATATACACAAATACATATGTATAAATATATACATACATATATATATATATACATTTATGTGTGCGTTTGTATACACAAAATTGTCGGGTTAATAACATTTTAACCCCATGTACTAGGGGAGTGGTCACATTTTTCCCTATCAATCAAAATAGGGTTAAAAAAAAAAACCCCTTGTGATACACCTAATACACAGAAAAACCCCTTCGTAATTTCAAAACATACAAAATGACACCTCATATTTTGAACTAAATTGTAAACTAATAAAATTCGTTAAACTTAACGGAATCCGATAAACTTAACGGAAAACTTAACGAAATCCGGTAAGTTTAACAGTCGAGACCGTCATTTTCGTTAAGTTTAACGAATTTTATTAGTTTACAATTTAGTTCAAAACATGAGGTGTCGTTTTGTATGTTTTGAAACTACGAGGAAGCTTTTCTGTGTATTAGGTATACCACAGGGGTTTTTTTTTTGTTTTTAACCCATCAAAATAACATATAATTTTATCTCTCAAAAAATAGTTAACAGTTATTTTTGGTAATACCATTAAAAATATTGATGAAGATATTAAATTGCTCATGTTGTAGTGATAAATGAGCAAACATACCCTTTGGATATTTAATTAATACCTCTTAAATTTAGGAGTTAATTACAAAACTTGACACTTAAACTTATCTTTGAATTTAACCTTATCGTTATTACACATGATAATACATTTTAATTTTATGGTCAGATATCATTGGTTGATATAACTGATGCATAAATGTTTGACAAAGTGCTTCAAAAATACTTGTTAAAATAGCTTTTCCAACGCTTTATATTGGTGTCAAATTTATTCATTTCTTAAATAGCTCATTTCTTTTTGCTTCTTTGAGGTCAAAGATTTGTGGTAAATGTTAAAAAAAATTACAGCAGACAGGGTTATCTATAATTTAATGTGAACACTATGTAATCGTAGAAGCCGCTAATTCGAACTCGAAAAGAAAATTATAAAATTGTAACTTGCAAAAATGTTGAAATTATAGCAAGTTTACAAGTAAGAAGTTTCGTTTGGTGAATAATAAACCCTTTGGAATAAAACATATTAGTTTTAAGCATTACAAATTACATTTCAATGCATGTATAATCATAGATTGTTAAAGCAAAGCATATATTTTATTTGTTGAGGATGTCAAAGTAGGCTTTTTTTTTTTTTTCTTATTTCAAGGGGGCAAAATGTCATCAAAGTTAAGGACAAAATTGAAGGAAAAGTCTTTTACTATTTTGAGACTGTAAAAAACGCAGCTTCCATTAAGTTGAGAAGTAAAGTGTATACTGTATTATTTTGGCTGCCCCCCTTAGTACAGAGGGACAAAGTGTTATTAAACCCAAAATTGTAACACTAATTTGGAAAAGCAACCTATAAAACTAACTCAGACAAATTTTCAATTCTTCCATTGTAGATCCCAAAGAAAACAATTCCAAAATAAAAAAAAAGGGCAACTAAAAAATATTTTCAGATAAAATGCCATATGCCACACATGAAGGAAAGAAATTATAAAAATCATTTCTGATTTCTTAGTCGGTCTTCGATGATGATATGCCAATCTCACACGAAGAAGTAAATACACAATTTTTGTTGTACAAGTTTTGGGTCGGCTGGTAGTCAACAAACCACGAAAGGACAAAAGGAAATTCTGGTCATTTTCGTGGCTTAATCGGCGGATCAAATCAAGTGAAGAATGTGCGATGGTCTGCGGGAATTGGCGGAGTTGAAGTTATTGAATTGGGTGGTTGGACCCATTTGGTTGGAAACATTGAAGCAAATAAATCTGAGGCTGTTGCCGTGATTTACTCAGCCCATGTGACTGTCTTGACGTGCTTGTTGCTCCTGCCCCACACTTTTGTCTGCCTTCACATTTCCATTTATTTACTCTCTCTCTCTCTCTCTCTCTCTCTTTATATACATAGAGGAATGTGTACCGTATACGTCTGTGACTGTGTTATAGTAACAGCCCATTCAATATTTTAAGAAAGAAGAAAAGAGAATGGATACCTTATCAGGAGTAGTAGAGCAAATTACTTGGATAGACACTAAATTTTGTAAGTAGTGAAGTTTTGGTTACTCAGCTATTAATAGTATACTTTTACCGATTGAATTATTAAAAGTGTGAATTATGGATCATTCGGTCTGACTTGACTGTTAACTTTGCTAGATTTAAGGATCCGAATAAATTACGAGACGTACTATTAATAGTTAGATCTTGTAAAGTTAGTGGCAAAATCAAACGTAGTGATCCAAAATTTAATCTATTAATAATCCAGTGGGTAAAACATGCTACTAATCATTGAATGGCCAAATCTTGATTATTCAAAAAGTTCAATGGCTACCAAGGTAATTTCTCCTCAAGAGTATTTAAAAGGGTTTTCTAACTAGTGCCCACTTTGGTGCTAGATTTTTGAAAAAATGAGATTAATTAAGAAAAGTGTATAAATATAAGAGAAAGTAATAATTGTTAGTGTCTGTACATATATGTATATGTACATATATATATATATATATATATATATATATATATGCATGATAGTTTGGGTGATATTTAAAGAGCAAATTACTTGAATAGCCACTATACTTTTTGAATAGTTGAGTTTTGGCCTGCTCAACTATTATTAGTATGTTTGTACTCACAAAACTATCAAAAGTGTAAATTTTGAATCATTCTATCTAATTTACAGTTAATTATGACATATCT